ATTTAAAAGACAGAAGTTAACTAGTCATTTGACAATTTCTCTGCTCGTTTATAAAAAAAAAAACAAGCTTTATATATGAGCGAATCTTTTAAAAGAAAAAAAGAACAAAGATGAACAAATTAAATTAAAAAATATAATTACGAAGGAATGCAAAGGAAAACATAAGGGAAGCTTCTTTTTTTTCCATTATTTTTTCTTTCCCTTCTTAGTTTTTTTTTTATTTATGTATCTCTTAAGAAGCCGACTGGTCTTACATTGGGCACGGATATATTACGTCCGGCACAGAAGCTTATGATATTTTGCTTATGAGCACGGACAGACAAACATGGTCTAGTGAGGATGAACCCAGCTGGCCTCTCGGGTCCTGCCCGATTCTGCAAACACTCCAAATGCTTTAGTCGCGTGCAAACGTCGTTAACAAATTTTGGCACCCAAATTGTGTGGCCTAGAGAGCGAAAAAGTGATAATTACTATTATTAAAAATGCATTAACAAAAGAAAAAGTAAGAATTACCAGTGTAAGCATACTCCAATAGAGTTTTATACACAATGTCACGAATATAAACGGTTTAGCAAGTAATTGCTAGCAAACAGTCGCGTCAAATGCTAGTTATTTGTACAATATATATAGATAAATGATAAGAGTGCAGCTTTAGAATTTAGCTTTTAAGTGTGAAAGAGGAGGACACTGACATTGTAAACTCAACTCTTTTATTTACTTTGATGAATAGAAAAGAGGACGTTGCAAACGTCAGTTTGTTATTGATAAAGGACTTTAAACAAACGAGGTTTGCATGGTTTAACAACAATATACATATTTATACAGAAGACAGTAATAAGAAAGTTAAAAGGCAGTATACACGTAAGATTGATCAAGATTGATATAATCATACAAAAACCTAGATACTTTATAATAAATGATACGCGCGTACTCATACATATGTTTCTAATGGCAGTCGTAATTGATTTTTGCCGTTTCACTTTGGTAATTATAATGTTATTTATATTATATTAATATATCTTCGGCATAAGTTTATAACCGTTTTCTGGCATTTTTTTTTTTTTTTTCAAGTTTCGATAATTATATATCGATCAATATAATTCTTCTAATAAACTTTTCGTATCTTTTTTATATTTGATTCTAGAGTATAAAACTTGGAACATAAATTTCTCAATGCCAGAATGCGAAATATTAATAAACATAAATAAATTGTGTCAATAATGGTAAGATAATATGAATGAAACACGATGAATAATGTACATTTTCGATACTTATTAATAACATATAGATTGCAACAAATAATTCTTGAGATAATTTGCATGTTTCTATTCTTTGTTGTGACATATACATAAAACAGATTAATTTTTAAAATTATTTTATGATATTTTATTGACCGTTTTGTATTATTTTATATAAATGAAATATAAATTCAATGATAAATATAAATATTTTATTGTATGCAATATGATGTCAGCTTTTTATTGGATTATTCGAAGCATACGATGACATAATTTTAGCGTTGATTAATCAAATTTTTAATATTCTGTTTTTAATAACGCTTATTATGGGGAAAAGGGGAATTTTTTCATTTGTAATATAATAATTTACATGACTTCAACAATTAAAATGTGAAAACATTAAGAATATTTTTACGCATTGTTTTCTAGAGAAAAAATTTTGCTATGTACCTCAAGAAAATTTCAAATTTGTATTAATTTACCTTTATTTTTCATTATACGAATTATGAATGAGAATAGAATGTTTGACGAGAATTGCTTTAGATAAGCTGTTTAGAATTTTGCATTTTTTAAATATTTGCAATGTGAAGATTTACTGATAGATGTAATGACTCGCAAAACGACATTCGTTCGAATTCATAGATTTCTAAACTTTTGAGTAATGAAAAACTTATATATTAGTATTTTTACTTCGCCCTAATATATGACGATCATTGCTTATGTTATGTTAATTTTAAAAAATATAACAAAGTTTTGTTTTAAGTAGAATAAATGAGAAATGACAAACGCAATTGTGTAAATTCGATCTAAAATTATAATTACTAACAACCATGAAATTATTCAAATTTTTATTAATGAAAAACAGTTTGCCGTAATGATATTTTTAAATGATAACTTTATAAAATAACTATATAACTTTATAAAAAGAGTGTGAGAAAGAGAGAATGAAAAAAAGAAAATAAAAGAGTATGAGAGAGAGGGAGTGAAAGATAAAAAAAAAAGAGAGAATAATTTTTCAAACAGAAAACATTGTTTGTTAGATTTGATCGTGATTTTTTATGACAAATTCTGACATTTGGATGATTTTGTTGAACGGCAAAAATCAGTACGCTCTATAAACGTAGACAAAATGTGTGATAAACTCACGCATGCCCTCTTCCGAATTTTCGTTATTACGTATTGTGTTCATTAGTCCTGCTTCTTTATTTTTTTTTTTATTTATATATTTTGATTTATATAAGAAAAATTCATTTTTAATAAAATCATAGCATGAAAAATTGTATTATAAAACACATTATTTTAAAAATTTTTTTTTTTTTAAAAAGAAGCAAAGAAAAATTTAAAAAGAAATTGACTTTTGAGTACAATACGATTTTTTTAAATGTATTATCGAAGCATTTTCTCATCTAACAATTATTGATTTTTAATAAAAAATTAAGATTTAAATTATTTCTAGTTACTTTGATAGAAAAATGATTAATTCTATCATATCATTTATTAATAAATTTAGAAGTCACTTGCAAACAAAATAATTACATAAAATTTATATTTAAAATCCATTCAATAATAAAAAGAAAGAGAAAATGTTTTAAATGCAATTTTATTAATTACTAATGTTAAAAATAATCGGAAGAGCGGTGGTTGATTATTCGGAAAAAAAAAAATTGATCAAAGAAAAGTATATGTCGAATAATAAAAAAAATTAAAAAATCTTTTGTTAGAAAGTGAAATTCATATTATATAGCAATAGATTAATTTTAAACGCGCCAATTAATTTTTCATATAAAAACTTTTTACACAGAGAATACGTTTCAAAATATTTTCATATTTTTCCATTCGTAATGTATACGTTTCTTATAGTTTTTGTACCCTGGAGAAATTTGTCCACTCAACAATTGTCGCAAAATGTAGAGTATTTATGCCAATTAGCAAACAACAAAGTTGTATACATTTAAATAGCATAAGAACCGATCACGAGATTTGTGTTTCAAATAATTTCTCTTACATCAATAATAATAATATTGAATGAAATATATAATTTTGTTTTTGATATATCATTAAAGATCTTTATATATCTTTTATTAATTATTATATATCTTCATAAATTTATTTAAAAGAAATAAAAACTTATCATTTTATTTTTTTATATATTAAAAAAAATTAAAATCTTAAAATTTAAAACTTATTTTTTGTTATTTTTTTATTCAAGTGTAAATTATATAGAAATATTATATAAAAATAATCATTTTAAAAATCATTTAATGTAATTTTTAAATTAAATTCTTTGAAACACATTGTGACCGGATTAAAATACCATAAGTTTCCTAACGTCATGTGTAAAAACATTGTGTTCAGAAAATATACTATAATACGACTGATATATGCCCGTTATGCAAATTGCGAATGTCTATCAAGAAAAAATGATAAATACACATCAATCATTTCGATTTCTTGTTTGATGATCGTATATGCTAACCGGCATAAAAATATAAGGAATGAATACAGAAAAACTGAATTAAGAAAAACCGATTTATTAAAATGAAAATTAACAAGCCTCCATACAAGATGAAGAAAAAGTTGTATTTACCCTGTAAACATTTTCATATTATATTATATTATATTACATTATATTATATTATTATTGCTATTATTACTACTATTACTACTACTATTATTATTAATATTATTTTTATTATTATTCATCCTGCTATTACTTCTATTGTTATTATTATTATTACTATTATGATTATGATTAATATTTTAATTATTGTCCTTATTATGATTATTATTCTTATTGTTATTACCAGTGCTAATACTATTCCTACTATTACTACTACTACTATTATTATTATTATTATCATCATCATCATCATCATCATCATCATCATCATCATCATCATCCATCATCAT